TTTTTAGTTAATATTATATTGATTAATTACTCGGTTATACTGTGATTACATGACGAAAATTAATCGTAAACTCTGTAGAATGAAAATTACAGCGATAAGATATAAAGTAATGGATATATAAAAATATTATTTATTATGACAAAATTACAACAAAGTAGAATTGACAACAATTGAGCAAAACAAATATCGATTTTTGATAATTTCCTAATCACGAGTACATCATTACTTATTCGCCAATCATTTTGTGAGTCGATCGTCCTAAAAGTTTTTCGTTTTATTGATGATGATGACTGATTTTTTGGCGGCTGATAAGCTGCAAATTTATTAATAAACTATTAGCCTGCTAGCATGTCGTTATCCTTGTTATCTATCGAATGTTAGATGTTGTATTTACTATATACTGAGTTTATATGAATATATTAATAATTAAAATAAAAACTTTAAAATAATTTTTTGAAGTAAAAATTTTCTCGATTTCCGTTGCATGTATGATTAAAATTATGTTTTTGCATATTCCACCTCGTGTCACGAAGGAACAATAGAATTCATGTGCAATCATAAATATTATTTGACTTATTATTAGACGTGAAAAACTGATTGTAACACGTGCAATGACAATAAAAATATGATGAATAAAATGGAATTTCAAGGTAATAACCTTGTACGTCAAAATCAATGCTCTCTTTACGAGACCTGATAGTTAGTAAACCTTGATCGCCATTAACGTACCGTGGCAATGAACCACGAGAAAAACATACGTGATGAGTTTAATGAAAAGGCGAAACACAATGCGAATACTAAATTTATGCAAAAACACCAAACATACTAGATCGTGCTAAAAGCCGTGTGCTAAATAATTAATTTGAATAATTAAATTAAATTTTATGACAAATTTCGAGTCTTTTTCTTTTTCAGTAGAATTTTTTGGGGGAAAGTTGTCATTTATTACATTTTAAATTTTCAACGTTACATATTTTTATAATTAATTCTTAAATATATTGCAAATTTAATAAATGTTTTCATTTGAAAACTAAATTTTTTTATCCGTTTAATTAATTTTTGTATGCTTAATTCGAGAAAGCCATAATTATTTGTTTGTAATTCAAAAGATATTGATATCTCGATATTGTTAAAAAAAACTTCGTTTTTAATTTGGTCAAGAACTTTTGTCAAATAAAGTTTCGTATAGCAATGTCAGACGTGCGCAATATACCGTGTAGCAATTTGCATACACGCGTAAGTACTGACCTAGACATTATCTTAACGATAAACGACTTGGGTTTTGAGCGTATTTGCTGTTTTGCATTTGAATATTTAATTTACATTTCATTGATACACTTAAGGTTGATATTTACATATATATTGACTTTATATGAATATATATATATATTGATAATTAAATATGTGACGTCGCTATATAATTGTGATTTTTGTCAGCAATTAAATTTGTTTACTAATTACAGGAAGTTATTTTATTTTTAGATCAAATTGTAAAGTATAAAAATATTAATGCTAACATATGTTTGTTACATTTTCGTAAAAAGCTGACATTGTTTGATTGCAATAATAAAATAATAGATATGCTGAAAAAATATTTAGCTTATCGTCAACTAAGAGTTGTACTACCTTATATCATTAGCTATATATAACATATATTAAATAAGATATATATAAATAAAGCGAAATTATAACATCTATAATAAAATGTGTTAGAATGTTAGTTGAATATCTAGATCGATACAAGTCTCACAAAATCTCTATTCTAATTAAATGCATCTTTTAAACATAATCTCTTTCTTTTCTTTCTCTTTTGATAAATCCGAAATCCAACGTGCAACACTCTATAATGTATAAAGCAGGAATATATATACATAAGAACATAAGAATTAAGCAGTCTCGTAGAAGGCACCTTCCAAAACTCATAAGGGCATTTTACATGATTGCGATCGTCGCGCGCGATAATCGAAAAAGTGACGAGAAAAAAATCATGAGCTTTGTTCTATATTTGGGCACCGCGTACAAAATTTCGTAAATTTTTCCCGGCTGTGCTTAATCATGCAATGTAAACAGAAAAATCCGTACTGCAGATGTTAGCTGAAGTAAAGTATGACATTTCGTGACGGCCGCATGACAAGAACGAAAGTTGAAAGACATCGTCGGATGCGGAACGATGGTTTTTCCCACGATGTCTCTTATTTGACTCACATTGTAAAAGTTAAATTAACAAACCTTTTACACGAGATACAATCATGCTGTCCTTGCACCGGACTGATTAATCGGACATGCTGTTCTCGCTTGTTCAAGACACGCGAGTGTCTTTCTTACATCGTTCGTATCTAATCAGTTGATAGAGAATGTATTTACATCAACTGAAAGTGGCTGTCCACTTTTGCACCATTCATTCACCTCGCACGTGACAGATGAATTATCAAAAAATAACTTAAACTGTCAATGATCGGGTGGACAAAAATTTGAATCATGTATGACATTCGTGCTGCTTTCTTTAATTTAAAGTCCCGCTCTAGGCAAGTCGAATAAAATGCTAGAATAGTATGTAACTCACACACACAGAGAAACGATTATATATATTTGTCTAATTTGATTGATCCTTAAATATATCATCAAAAAACTGTACGTTAATTGAAAAAATATGATCTTAAAAATTTTAAAAATTTTGATTTTATGTTTCTGAGGAACAGAATAATTGTCATAGAGAATACAATATTATCTACAATTTATTAACTTTCTCTCCCTATTATTGATTTTGTTGAAAAGCCAATTTCGAGAAACAATCATAGATGCATAAAACTAATAATAATTGAACACTTAAAAATGGAAGGTATTCTCTTATTTTTCATTTAAATTTGTATCTGTCATCCGTATTCTTATATCTCACTTTCAATTTTAATGTGACAGCAGTTTCTACAATTTATTTTCATTAATAATAAGATCTAAAAGTGTATGTTTTATATATTGTATTATATAAAGTAGAATTGTTAATCAATTCTTGAAGGAATTTTTTTAGAAAAATGTAAATGTTTTCTTGCTGTGTTTTTTTTATTAATATAAATAACATAAAAAGATAACATTGTTGATAGTATTAATATGTACATTTTTACACATTTTTGTCTTGAGTAACTTATCTGCGTTCAAATAGTTTAACCTCAATTTACTCAGCCAATTAAGTTAATGTACACATTGTAGAATTACTATGTACTATAAGTGTGTACAATTAGATAGATTAGTAAGCTTAACAAAGACATGAAACGAAAGCATGAATATTCTTAAAGAACGGCATTGCTTGATTATGTCAAAGTGATATGTCAAGTGATTTAACCGAGGGGTGTCTCACTGTCGCAATACATGTACATTTTTTCTGGAATTACTTACGCATTACTTCGCATTACGTCGTATTCGCATTACGCCGCATTACTTCGTATTGATTTACAAGTCCTATAGCACAAAACAATAAAACCCAGACAAGATTAAAACGTCTTAAAAAGTAAAAATAATATCGTTATAACGTCTTTAGAACGTCTTTTAGATACGCGTGAATAATTCTTTGAAAGTCAAATTTATGATTATTTATCAATATTTCAGATAAATAGATAACAAGCGCAAAAAAAGATAATTTTTTAAATTTGATGAAATAAATTAAAAATAAGATATTGTTGCTAAAAAAATCGACACTATGTTGGTTTTGTGATACAAAATACGGCCGATCGTCTACAGATAAATTATTACGAGTAAGAGGAATGTCCAGAGAAATGTTATTTAAAACTAAAAAAGAACTAAATAAAAGGAGTGCCAACCTAAGGGTCAATAAATAAAAGAAAAAAAACTCAAAATAATGACCTTTCATCTGAAAATACGTCTTCTATAGTTGAACTCGAATGTAAATTTGTCCGTCGCATTACTTAAAATTACACTGCGTATTACATGGAATTACTTGGGTAATTCCCGGTAATTCGCAATACATGTACAAATTTTTGGTGAGTGAGACACCCCTCGGATTTAACTCGCATGTCTGTGCTATAAATTATGGTGCGACACTGCTTGATTTTTTTTTGCTTCTTTTTCTATAATTTATTATAAAATGCTGTTTATAAACATTTATCATTATCAAATTAGAACAATACAGATTATCGTATGAAAACGACGTTAATATCGCATATATCAAGAATTTAAAAAATCGTATATATATAATGACCCAAAAATTAATTTTTCTCAAATAATTTCAGCGAAATAATTTTATAAAATGCAGATGATTTAAATAATTATAAATACGTACATAATTTTTATAACAGTTACAACTTATATGAAAAAAAACTAAAAAATAAGAAATAAGAAATAAAAAATAAAATATATAAAAAAGAAATAAAAACAGAGATTATTTATTATTAACATAAAACAAT